ACTGAGAGTGACTGTGACACTGAGAGTGACTGTGACACCGAGAGTGACTGTGACACTGAGAGTGACTGTGACACTGAGAGTGACTGTGACACCGAGAGTGACTGTGACACTCTCTCTATACTGCCCCCAGCCACCCAGCAATCATTACAGCACTGAGTAACATGTCTGTAACGTTGAACATTGCTTAACCCCTCACGTTAACACACGTAATCGGGCGTGCGCGTAGAAAAGCATGTTTCTGTTACGCTAGACGCGGAAGGAGTTCCAAAGAGAATGCAAAATTATTCTCTAGCACTTGACGCACGTAGATGCGGGTGCGTGTCATTTGAATGCCTGCACGTACGGTTGTAATTACGATGAGTAATTACTAATTAGTTAATCACTAATTAGTAATTAGTGGCTGTATTTGTTAAAATAAACTTCTGAGCTTCGACTCGCGTGCACAGGTTGTTTATAACCCCTGTTTCAGAGATGATTTCTGGTTTACATTGGGAAGTCGCATGAGGATGTATTGCTTGACATATAAATATAAATATATATATACATACATATATATACATAGATATTCATAAGTTTTATCAACAGGATTACGATAACAACGGTGTATAGTAGCGTAATATATTTAGTTTTCAGAAATGTCTGCAAGAAACACATTAATGCTATTCTGTCACCACTTGACAGTTGCAGGCCGCGTTGCATCGTTGTCGTAGATGAGTGTCAGACAGACGTGGTAACTATAATGACCTCGCTTTTTTGAATATTTGGAATGATATTCTAATACATTACGGTGATTGAAATTCTCGCCAAGTGTCACGAGATTGTGTCAGCAATGGTTTTGCTTGTGTCGCGGAGTAATTCCAGTCGTGCGGGTGTTCATTTCTGCAGTGGCAGCATTGGTTGCGGCCATGTTTGCACCGGGATTGGTTGCGGCCATGTTTGCACAGGGATAGGTGGCGGCCATGTTTGCACAGGCATAGGTGGCGGCCATGTTTGCACAGGCATAGGTGGCGGCCATGTTTGCACAGGCATAGGTGGCGGCCATGTTTGCACAGGCATAGGTGGCGGCCATGTTTGCACAGACATAGGTGGCAGCCATGGTTGCACAGGCATAGGTGGCGGCCATGTTTGCACAGGTATTGCAAATGGCAGGCTATTAATTAACTTGCGACCAGACCGCATTCGTCGCTTATAATTCATTATGCTGGGTTTCGGTTATGTCGTTACGTTGATGTAAAATATTTTTCACCGTCAAACTTCGTGCATTCGGGTTTGAGTCTGTTATTGTTTGCTATGAGTTTTGATGAGTCCCAATTTTACGTTCGTTGTTTTCTGAGTTATTCCTAATTTGTCATTAATATATATCTTACTCTATACTATGTTCTACATATATATGTGTGTGTCCAAGCATTTATAGTGTGAAAGATTCCATTAATAATTGTTAAATGGAGACCCATCTCTATCCATATATATTCTGCCAGATATTTTATCTTTGACAGCATCTTTGGTGTGAAAAACTGCATCTATATTATATGTGATGTCACCCTCACTACTATTCTAATATAGTTACTATCATATTAGTGTTAGTCATGTGTGTGTGTGTGTGCGTGCGCGCATGCATGTGTGTGTGTGCACAAATACGAAGCAATATTGCTAAATTGTTACCAAAGACAAACGTTATGATTAGTAGCTAGTACCCATCGAACATAGCAATGAGCTCTAAGTCACGTAGTACCTAGTTGCTAGTAAGTCCGCCAACCTGCTAATACATGTGCTTCATTGTAACGCCGTCGTTGGGTGTGCTTGCCCATTGGCAATAGTTGTGTCGATTCGGTATCTAAGTTAGCACTGTTGTCGCGTTATTCACCTACGCTTGGTAGGTTCCATGACGGAGTATCAACGACGTAGAGAGAGAGAGAGAGGCAGAGAGAGAGAGAGAGAGAGAGAGAGAGACAGAGAGAGAGAGAGAGA